AATATAAAAAATAATTTTTATTAAAAATATAATATTTAATAGTATTAATATATTTAATTTAATAAAATAATTATTATATGTAACATTTTATTTGTGCAGTTTTACAGAAAAGAAAATTGGATATAACAGAATAAGAAGAGGGAGTCTGTATAAAATAAAATATTTAAAAAATATTTTTAAAAATGTTATTATATAAGTAACAGAAGTTTTAAATTATTAAGCCTGACCTTACAAGAGGTTGATAAAGAGGTCTGAGTTCACAAAACATCAAATCATTAAAGCTATTTAAAGTTCACCTGAATATCTGGTGGATAAAAAAAATTTATTACAAGACTGACGTAAGCTGAATAATTTTTCACCAGATTATGTAACGTTGTTAACCTTTTAGCTTTTAATTATTTTTTAATAATGTAATAAAGACTTAAATAAAGTTTTAATATAAAATTTTTAATTTTTATACAAATTTTTAATATATTTCTTAAATATTATATTTTACAATCTCTTTATTAATAATTAATTATAAAATATTTAACTCTAACTCATATGATATGACATAAAGTTAATATAAACAATATCACCGAACATGTAACTGATAGAAGATTATTCTATCTTATCTGCAGTTTAAATAAATATATATAAATAATGATATATATATATATATATATATATAATATTAGTTTTATATTTTAAATTTTAAATTTAAAAGTCATAACTTTATAACTTAAAATTTTATTAAAAATACTAAAAATGTTATATTATTAATTACACATCTTCTCATTAAACCTTATTTAAGTCTATAACTAAAATAATATCCATTTATATAAAATAAATAAATTATTGTCTTATTCTTATGATATTTAAAAAAAAAAAAAGTATTTATACGAAAAAATAAGACATTTTAGTTATCATTAGTTAATCGTTCATTAAACTAATTTGATCAACTTGATTCATTTTAAACATGAAATTGCTTCATTTCAATTTCCTAAACAATAGGATCTCCAGCTATAAATGCATTATTATTTCAATTAAATTAGATGAGCTTAATTAGTCTTGAATTTTTTTCTAAGAATATAAGTGCGTCAAAACACAGTAAGGAGGGTTATGCTTTGTTTTGTTTATATATACCAATAAAATGAATAAAAAAGTTACAAATATTTTGCCTTTGTTGGGTTATTAAAGAAGCAATGATGTCTATTCATTGGATGGCTGGATACACAAATGTACATAAGAATCTGGGAAAAGCTTACTGAAGTTCAAATAGGGAAGATAAAACCTAAAATAAATTAATTTAAAGCAAAGTTTAAAAGAATAATTAAGGAGGAACTGATGAGATGACATAACTTATAAAAGTGTACGCTTGAGAGTTAAGAGAGAAGAGTGAAATAATAATAGAAGGATTCTATTTCCTCCTTAGCCATTCAAACTTTAAATTTTTGTTCCATTAAACTGGTACATCAATAAAGGAATGATATGATCTTTCTTAGTTAAACGTATTAGCTAAAATGATAAAGTGACATATCTATTTTATTTCATTTATTGTGTTTTCAGTCCATTCCATTACAAGATACTGAAATTTTAAAACTCCAAGAGTATCCTAATGTTGAACATGTGCAGCATTAATCATTCATGGAAGATATACAAATGCAGACAGGGTGAGTGGCTCTAAGAAAAGTTGGGTGAAACCATCCATGAAAAATTTGTAGTACTTGTGCAACTTGAAACACCTACAAGGAAACAGAATAATTAATACATTTTGAGCTTTTTGGTGGCCCTCCCTTCTCTTTTATTTGCAACTATCTGGAAAGAGCTAAGAAGACACAAATCTATGAAATGGTCTAAACCCTACACAAGAAGAGTTGTTTTCAGCTTCTGTATTAATCTGTGATACAACTCCCAAATTATATTTACACTTCCTGAACTTTAAAGAGATTCCATCCTGTATTCTCTCTGTTTTCATATTATTTAATCTTCTTTAATTCATATAACAACATAAAAAACAGAAGAGGTCTATGATATAGTGAAGCATTACATTATTATATAAATTAATAAAAGTTTATGTAAGAGAAAAAATATTAAGTAAAATTTTATGAAACCTTTAAATGTGACCATAATTTATTGTTTCAATGCAAGAGTTGTGACAGTGTCATGGTTCTTGATAGAAAATGCTATCTCTGCGTTTGTGCTGCTTTTCTGGTTCATTTCTTCTGCACATTCCAATAAAAAACGGGTGCGACTTATCTTTCAATACTAAATTGGTATGACAATGCTATTCTTTTAACCTTTAGCCTCAAAGGTCAAAAAGTTTCGTATATTTGTTTTTGATTTTTTCGAAAAGAAAAGTTAAATATTTGGATATACAGACCAAGTTTTGAGCCCTTTCTATTTTTTGGCTACGAATTCAAATTGATTGGTCCACGTTTCTCTTCATTTTCCTCCTCTCCTTCCCCAACAAGCATGCATTATTGAGGTCAATTATTTCTGCTATATGCAAATAACATGTTTAACCAAACTGCACAAAAATAGAAAGTACAAAATTGGTATCACAGAATTGCCTCTCATTCAACAGTCATATATAAATGTAGCATACGGATTCTGTCCTTCTTTAGGAACAAATTATTTTTAAAAAACTCTCAATTAACAAAAATAAAGAATCATTTCTTTAAAATAAGTTGAGCTAAACACACACTTAACAAAGAAGGACTTTACCCTGAAGTGAGCCTGTACCATGCTAACTCATGTAGTGTCTTTGAAGTTTGCAGCTCAACATGAATATAAAGTTATTGTAGACAGTAGAACAATCTCCGTGACAACATATTAAGAAGAAGAAAGAGAATTCAATCTCAGTTAGTGCATGTTTGATTTGGCTTATTGTAAGTGAATAATAACTTTATTTTATTAAATTTTTGCAGGATTTTTTTAAAAATAAATAACTATATTAATCTTTTATGAAACATGCACTTAAATTGTGAAATTCTTACGACTGAGGCATCACTCCCATGCCCATGTAGAAGTGGTCAAGTAGATTGACAAGGCAAAGAATCTATGTACAATATCCAGAAGGCGGGGTTCACAGCTAAACGGTGATGATTATGATGGTTCACAACTCACCGTAAAATATTTGGAAAACATCATATGATTAGGACAGAAATATCAATTAATTTGAGGGTAGATGACACAGGTCTCAATTTGTCTCTATAAAAAAGGTTGGTCAGGCATCTACCAGCTTTTTATGTTTATTCTTTTCTGACTTCAAGTATCCTTTGTCGGTTTCTCATTTGAATCTACATGTCTGTGATCTCATCCTTCTTTCATGATCGGATAGTGTAATATTTCACCGAATTGGATTTGGAGGCTAATGAATCGCATAATTAGAACTTAGAACTAGAGGTTTGAGGAGGAAACGTGAAATTCTTTAATTTCCTAGCAATTAATGTTAAGTAAATACTAACTAGTGTCCTTAAATGAATTGAAAGTGGAAAGATTGGTTAAAAGATTAAAAAGATTATTATTATTTTTTATTAATGTACCTTTCTCAATAATTTTCAATATATTCTCATGATTTTATTTGTTGCACTCCAAACATGGCAACGCGCAAATTCTCGAATGCTTCATATACTTGAAACAGAACCGAGCACTATGAAGGGGCCATATATTAGTGCCAAATAAAAGTTACAATGTATGTTTTGTTAATCCATACACATATGTTTACGTTGCAGGATAAAAATATATCTATTTTAGATGAATCATGAAATTTTGGTTAAGTGGATTAAGCACGTGAATTGGCGTCCCAAGTGGAAGCTAATCTCCCAGAAAGTTTAGTCACCAAAAGAGGCCCATGGACACCACAACTTCTATTTAATGGCATGCACATTTATGTGTAGTTTGTAACATCTGTAGAGAGAACATGGACCAAAGCTCCATTCCTTAACTATCAAAAGAAAACAGAAGAAAACTGGATTTTGACAAATAAATAAAGATGAAAGACAAAAGCAGAAAATAATACAGATCACAAGATAGACCCAAAATTAAAAAAGAAAAAAGAAGAGAGTAAGAAATCAAAAGTATAAATAAGTCATTTAATTCCAATGTTTTTTGTTTTCACGATCAAACAGAAACAGAAATAATTGGGTTTACATTGCATGTCCTACCACTTATATAAATGTTAGGAACTTAGGACACGCAGCATACATAAATGCTCAAAACATTAACAGCAAATTAAGGAAATAATATAAATTGTGACATAAATTATTCTGTTGAGCTACGACATACGAGGGAAGTATCCTAAGTATCGTATCAACATACAATTCCTTGAATTTGAGTTTTAACGTGGTATGAAAAAAAGAAAATGAACTTTTGCTTGAAGAGAAAAATAAACTCTCAAGTGAAAAAGAGATATTTCACAGGCTTCTGTTGCAAATCTGCATCAGACAAGAGTGGCCAAAGTAAGATTATGAAATGTAGATTTCCCTCCATAGTAGTCATTTCTGTCCATATCATACAATTCAAGTGGATAGGTATAAAAGGAATAAGACCACTTGATCATGCACAAGAAGCACCAAGACAATGATAATTACGTATATATATTGTACAGCTAGAAAATGACCAATTTGCTCTGTGGTTAATGCTTTGGTGATCTCGGAGGAATTTCATCCTACACGTAACTCGTTTATAAATTAGGCCAAGTTTATTAATTGTTACAAATTAAAATCTTAGCAAAACATATATAAATAGAAAAGTTATTAAAGCTCGTGATCTCCAACTGCCTCATTTGACTGCAAAATCCAGTTATTCTTAGAGCCTTGACACCAAGGTTTGATATTTCTACACATGACTAATCTAAACTGTTCTGGGAAACTACCACCACCTATAATGATGATAGACTTTATCTACAATGGACATAATCCCCAGAAGCATAACATTCAGACTCTATTGGGACTTAGAGATAGATTGGCTTCATTAATTACATTGTTTATATATATATATTTGGAAAATACGGGTACTTAGTTTACAGAGCCACATTTCTTTCTAATTTGTCCTTGTAGTCCTGTAAGTACTCCCACATTACTAAGCTTCACCATGGATGCAGCAAAATCATTATAGAAGGAAAATTGATTGGTGCTGTAATAATAAACCATAGAAGCAGTCCTTGGATCTCCAATTAGTGCTTGGTCAGAATCAAGAAGCCCTGAGTTGCTCACAAGATTTCTGTAGTATTCATTATCAAATGTAAGAGTAGTTGTAGCATCGAGAGGAGCTAGATTGCTGTTTGAAGTGTCTTTATTTGGACACATGTTTTGCAATTTTGAGAGAAGTAAAGAGTCAAGCACAGGATCAGGTTTGCCAGAGCCTTGAAAGTCAAAAAGCCTCCTTTTGAAGGTGAAGCATTGGGCAAAACCAATTGTATGTCCTCCTAATGGAAATAGAAAAATCATCTTGATGTCAAACGCAAATCACCATAACAAGTTGTGTCCTTATGGACTATTATTGAGCAGAGAAATAAATACACTATTAGTTTTTATTAAAATTTATTAAAAAATATAAAAAAAATATGTAAATCTTTTTTTTACTTTTAACTTAATGATTTTTTTTTTTCATATTTTTACGGTCTAAAAAAAAGCTAATAACTAAAAATATGTAAAAAAAATGTTAAAAAAATATAGTAATAATTCTCCTCTTATTGATAATGAATTACAGTGGCAGAAGTAGTTTCATTAGGAAAATAATCCCCAAACTATAGCAAATGAATATTGTGACTCACCGCTAAAAGTCTATATTTTCTTACTATAGGTAGACCCAACAGTCTCCTTAATTAGATTGGTGACGGGTTCAAAATTTTTTTTTAATGAATCCCACTTAGATTTCATACACTATTTTAATAAGTGAGTAAAATGCAAACCATCTTAAACTTCTAGTCATGTGCAATTTATATCACCTGGAATTTTTATTAAAAAATGTAAAAAAAAGAGAGTATATTTTACATTATCATTCAACAATAATGAAACCACTAACGTGCATGTGATGACAATCATGCTTTTATTTTTCTATGCATTGGATTCGATTTAATTGAAATTTAACATCAATTTTTAATAATTTTTGTTGTTAATGTTGATTTTAAATTCAAAATTAAGATTTTTTTATGGTTTCAAATATATAAAAGCAAGCATGACATTTTATCCTTAATAAAGTTAAATTTCGAAGAGTGAGAGTGGTGTTCTTCACATTTTTCGCTGTGTTCGGTTGCGAGCCAAAGAGATATGTAGGTGTGTTTCTAATTCGTAAGTTACTCGCTGTATCGTCAAAATTTACGTACATTTAAACTTTTTCTAATGTAGAGCCAAGAACGTAGTAAGGTTAAAAAGGACTTTTTATTTTTCTATTTTTGCAAAACCCATAGAGTTAAGAGTGTGTGAGCCAAAGTTGAAGATAGTCCTTTCTCCATTTTACTAGAACATGGATTGTCCTATAGTCAAATTTCATGCAGGGCTCAATTTTTATTTTTTTTTGGTTATATTTCAGATATAGAAAATAAAGTAAAGGGAGATTTATTTTAGTGTCTCTCTGACTACAAAATATCCGTCTCCATTATTTTGGAGCATGATGGTATTTTGTATCAAATTCAATTTAGCTACGATGTCATCTATGAAAAAAAGCTTCAAATATTTGGTGAAAGTCCAAGTTAGCTTCTACCACTACCTAGACTTGGAATGATACATTCTAAATCATGTTAGAAAATTGAGAAATTAAAGACTAATTAATTAAGTACCTGAAAGGACTACAACATCCCTCAAGTCAAGACCCTTTGAAGCAAACTTTGCAATTATGTTATCTAGAGGCTCGATTGGTGAGGGAATTTGTTGATTAGCCGCTGCTTGACTTGTAGTTATTGCATCTCTTCGGCCTAATGCAACAGGCCAAGAAGGCCCTCCAACCTAAACTTCAAAAACATAGGGGAAGAAACACCCACAAGTTTTGTTACGTTAAATTGGTATTTTTAAATATGGAGCTTTCAGCTGAGACAACTACTTGTATCCAAGAATATTAAAGGAAGTGTCACTTTTACCAGATCAATAGCTTCCCTAGCTGCTAAGGCTAATATATCAGCACAGGAAACTATCGATGGGCATAGCCTTTCAACTTGTTCTTTTATGCTATCAATGACTTCAAACCCTCGAATTGATTTGCGATTAGGAGGAGCATTCTTTTCTCCAGTGAAATATGGTGTGTCATCAAGAAGCACCGAACCATCACAGCCCTTTTACAAGTAAGTCAACATAATTAATCACACATAAGCAGCTAACTATAATATAATGCACCAAATACGATAATGTAAACATTAGAAAGATGAGGAGGTTATTAATTCAGCCAACTTTCTAACCATTATCATGAATCTAGCGAGAGGATTGTTTCTACATTAAAATATAAGGAATGAATTTTAAACATACGACTATATATAAACAATTAAAATTAAAAAATATATTCATGTACGTAGAGGGAGGATTAGGTTCCTTAATAACCCATGCTTGGTGTCATACTAAAAACAAAGCTGATAAATCCACTCTATTAATGTCCACGTCAAAAATAGATGTTTGAGTAACTTTGATGATGAAAAAAAGATTCATAGAACAACTTCCGCCACATTAAAATTCTAAAGCATGTTAAAAGTTAGAAACAAATTAATTTTAAGTAATCTGATCAGATTAATGAATAAATAGTAGTGCGCTATAAACCTAAAACACATATCTGATCTGTCTCTATGTAAGTATGTGATTCCATCCATATTTGCAGAGTTAATATACCATTAGGTACACCCATATTCGGAAAAGGAAGTTCCTAGATTTAGGTTCTGTTTGTTTATTTGTGTCAATGAAATTAATACACCTATTAAGGGTAAAAAAATGTTGAGAGCTAGTTTTCTAAAGGAAAAAAACTCATTTCTCAATAACTCCACGTTGAAGTGGCATAAATACACTGGTAATTATTAATTAGGTTTACTTTAGATAATTTTTTAATAAGTATTTATAATTAAAAAATTAAATTAAATAAATATATAAAATTTTATGAATTAAAATTTAACTCGTACACAAATTATTTTATAAATTTTTGTATCTAACTTAACTATGAAAAGTTAATATAGGTAAGTTAATTTTAATTATAAAAAAAATATTATTTTTTTTATAAATAGTTGTAGAGAAAATTTTTCAAGTTAGACCTTAAAGTAACGTGCTCCCGTGTCTCACAGATGAAACATAAAAAGCAGTAGTATTAAGTGTGTTGTTCATTTTATAGGTTAGAAATAACGAAATCTTAAAGCAGGCAATATTTACATTTACTATGCAATCGTGAAAGTGCAACCGAAGGAGGGACGCAGCCATTCTGTTGTCATTACTGATGGCTGACCAAACACCATATCTAACAATCATGGGCAAACGGGGACATGATCCTTCATAGAAATTCATGTCAAGCTGGTTTCTACAAAAGGGAAACATTTGAATAAGAGGAACCAAGGTAGCAAGCAAAAGGAAGAAGAAAGTGAAGTTGATGACAACTCTATAAGCCATCGCTTGATAATGTCTACTAGAACTTGGTAACTTCAAATTCTTATGACATGCTGTGAGCTACGGATTATTTATATGCAAATAAAAAAAAATACTTCTATGCAACAGTGTTTGTTTTCATTGAATTTTTATTTAGTTAGTTAAAATTATTAAATTAAAAGTACGGCTTAAAAAATTAATTTTTATATATTTATTAAAGATAAAAATATAATAAATATTTTTATTTTTAATAAAATTATACTATTATTAGTCCGTTGAAGTTAATAAAACATCGTTTAAATAAGCGGTTCTTTTAACATTTATTTGCTAATATAGGATAAGAATTTAATAAATAGTAAAATTTTAATAAAAATTATAATATTTAATTTATCATTGCATTGAATTTAGTAATATAATGTGATTTTTAATAATAAAAAAATATTGTACATAAATTTTTATTATGTGTTTTTAAATATACTTTAAAACTGTATTTAATAAAAATATATATTTAAATTAATTATGTACTTATTGTAGTTATATTTAATGATTTAAACAATTTAAAACCATAGAACAAGTTTCAATGTACCGAATTTTTTGAATGGCGGCTGACCCATATGCCATAGGATATGAATAAATTATTTATGTGCAAGCATGATGGAATGTCTGGCTGAGTTCATTGGTGAAACGAGGAAGTGGTAATGCCATTATTGCTATTACTGTTCAAATTCTAATGGCCACGCGCCGCCAAAACTTCTATCTAGCATTGTCATTTGTCCATCAGCACTATATGTTGAACTGTATTAAAAATCCAAAGAGAAATGTATTTATTATATTTTTAAAAAATTATATATATTTTTTAAGTCCTTCAACTAATATCTTAAGAGCACTCTTTAAAATCTGTCAATTTTTTAACATGAATGCTAGTGATGGTTGAAAAAGAGCCTTTCGGTATTCTCTTTTATGTTCTTATTAACTGATTTGATATTTAATATTAACGTGTGGTTGAATTTATGTATAAATAATTATAAATTCTTATTCTAACATTCTATGATGTTTACGTTAGAACACCAGGTGCTGCAAGGAGCTACATAATATTACGAATGATGACAATGACATAATAGAAAATTCCAAATAAAAAATTTATTTAAATTTGGGATAATATTATCATTAGAAGCATGCTCATTTCAGAAGATGAATTGAGCATTAATAAAGGTGGTTATGCCTAGTCAATAGAAACGAAAACAAATTTTAGAACTATATGATCACTGATCGATAATAGAAAGAGGCAATCAATTATTGTACCTTAGGTGTACCAAATCTGTTTTAATTATTATGAAAAATAAAAACTAATAAATATAAATGGTTAGATTTTATTTGAATTGTTAAAACTAATGCATATACACACATATATATATATATATATATATATATACTATTAACTATTTTTAACTTTAATTATCTGTATATTTTCATGTGATCTAAATTTATAAATTTTACAAATTTAAAATAAAAATTATTTTCATTATATCTGTCCTCGTGTACTCGCATATTCAACCAAAGATCTGAAAATAAACAAAAATGGAAATTTCAGCATTTTTTTTTATATAGATCTTAACATTAAGATGTGTAATATATACTTAATTTCGAAGTCACTACTTATAATGTAAAATATAATGCTAAAAAGATAGATGCTCGAGATTGATAGAATTATTATCCTCACAAACAATATAGTATTACACTAATTCGAAACACTTGTTGTATAATCTCCGGTTGATAAGAAAACATGACTAGGATCTCATATTTGAAAGTTATACATAGTGATCCTAAAAAGATCCATTGTTGCTTAGTCGACTGTAAATGCACTTTAGAAGATTTATATTTTTTGGCATAAATGCACTGTAAATGCATTCGTATAAGTGGGTAACACTTTTGACTCATTATTCTATTTGAAATATGACAACTATCCTCAGTTTATCATTTTTGTATTTGCGGAAAATGTTGTTAGAGATAGCATTAACTCTAAAATTGTTTAAGATATTTTTGGACAAACAAACTATTTTAGTTTAGAGGGTCAATATAACCTCAAGTCTATAACTCATTCCACGTAATCCACTGTATAATCCTAATTTATTTAAGTCATATGTGTAGTAGCTTATTGTCGTAACTGGATGATCGCAATGATATGGTGAAAACATGTTTAAGAAAAATATCTTTCAAAAAACAAAATTAGAGAATAGTTACTAAAGTTTATTTTTAAAAAATCTTGAATATTTTTTTTTTTAAAAAAATAACATGATCTTTGAAACAAAAAATTAGTTTAGAGTCATGTACATATAAGGAAAGGTAATACGACGTTCGTTTAAAAAATGGTTATCTTAAATTAATTGTACAAATTCATCTTAATTCTGAAAAATATTTATTTAACCTCTAAATATTAATTTTTTGTTTTAGAAGAAAAAAATTATTTATTGAAATATTAACTCAGTATTTAAGAAAATATTTTTAAAAATTATTTTAACTTAACAGGTTGGGTTCTCGCTCCTACGTATCTTTGGGTATATTGAGGAACTCAAAGTCACTGTCTAAAAATTATGAAATTGGTTGATTAAAATTATGTGTAATAAAAGAAAATTTATTTTAAAATTAAAATTATTTTTATAAAATTATAATGTTTAGGATACAAGATAACACAATTATATATGTAGAGAAATAATACAAATAGTGAAGGAAGATCACACAACTATATTGTTAATCAATAAAAATATTTTATTTGTAAATGAAGTATTTGAATTTTAATTTTGATTATGGTTAATGTTGAAAGAATTTTAAGATAGTGTAAGCTATACATAAATTTCTTATAATTTATTAGATAATCAAAGGTAATGTAAATCGTACATCGATATTGTAAAAATTTATATAATAGAATGTAGAAATGATTGGTTATTTAATTTATTGAAATTAGAAATACGATTTAAGAAAAATTAAAATATGAAATTAATTCTATTTAATGAAAGGAATAAATATATTTGAATTAATCAAAAAAATATTTAATAAGAAAAATTAAAACTTTGTTTGATAAATTTATATTGTATAAAACCTAAGGTAACATTAGTACACATATGTTCTAACAATTTACAATGTGTAAAGGTAAAGTCGCTATACATTAATATTATAAATTATTTCACTAATAAAATAATTTAAATTTAAATTAGTTGATTGATTCGTAAGTTAGTAATTAAAAGAAAAATATATTTTGATTTTTTATTAAAGTGGTTAACTAATTAATTAAAGACAATATACTGTTTTCACTATTTCTCCTAATTTTCTCCTTCCTTTATTGTAGTTGGATGCTAGTGGTGTGTGGCATCCTAGATTTGTAGCTTAATTTCTTTTTGTTGGGTCCTTTTACCCCTTTAATATAAAAAAAAGATAATATATAATAAATTAATATTATATAAAGTCTTGGTAACATAGGTACACATAGACTTTATCAATTTATAATATATGACGATAGAGAATTTATACGTTAGTATTATAAATTGATGTAATTATATTATTATTTATTAATTGAAGAAATAATTTACTATTCATAAAATAAGAGAATATGATCACTAATACAAAATTAAATCACATCAATGTTCTACAAATATATAATAAATAAAATAAAATAAAGCAATCTTAAAAAGTAAGCATAAATAATGAAAAAACATAAAAAAGAGAATTTATTGTCAATGTTAAAATGAAATAAACTTTATAAATAAGAACACAACTCAAATATAATGTAATAATAATAAAAAATCATGTTACACTTAATAAATTTTAATGCTTTTTATTATAATTATTCAAACTGTTATTACTTAAAGAAGAAAATCAATGAGTAGAATTAAGAGAACTAATTTTAAAATAAATACATAAATAAAAATATAAACTAAAATTAAAGAATAAAATATATTACAAACTACATAAATAAAATCTAAAATAAAAATAACGTAAATAATAATAATAATGATAAAAGATAATAATTTTTATTTTTTGAAGAAAAAATTTAAAGAGGGCTAAATAAATAAATAAATAGGTGAATGAAAGAAAGGAAAGTGGGGTATAAGGTTGCTGGATAAAACTAAAAGGTGGTGCACTACAACATTAAAATCACATTGCTTTTGGAAATGTATCAAAAGGTACATTGAAAAAAAGAAGAAAGACACCGAACAAGCAAGGGTCACATCAATTATTCAACTTAATAAACATAAAATTGTTCATTCCTATACATTCAACTATAGGGCAAGGGAAGAAAGGAAAAGCTGAAAAAGAATGCCAAAATAAAAGTTCAACTCTGAGAAAAAAACTAAAAAAAAAAAGGTGAAAGTACAGGTATCCGCACAATGAAGTAAGAAAAAATCTAAGTTAGTCCCTTTTCTTTATCTAAAATATTTTAGATCCATTTCTCTTCCTTCTTTTTTTTTCTTATAATTTTTTGCTCCCCTCCCACTTGTTTCTTCTCTTTTTTTCTTTTAAAACTCCTTCTTCATCTCCTTAAAACCCCTCATCTTATCCTCCGTCCCCTTTTTAATCTCAGATCTCCCTATTTTGAAAAAAAATTGCTCTGCTCTTTCAAAACTAGTTGTTGTCTCCCTTTAATGAAAACTTGTTGCCTTCTTTTCTCTATCTCTAAAAGCTCCTCCCCCTCATATTCTTTACTTGTGCTTTTATATAGGTCCATTTAGGATTTTTGCAAAACGTCAAAAAAAATTCCTAGTTTCCTTTCTTATGTTTAGAGCTCAGATGGGTACTGGGTGTACACTAAAAATTTTCGTTTCTAGAGACAAAATTATTTTCCAAGTTTATATATATAATTTTTTTTAAAACAACATTTATTTTATAAAAACTCAGAATCAACCATGGGAAAGAAAAAAAATTGGTATTCACAGTTGCCCCTCTTTACTCAGTTCATATCAGTTAGAAATATTTTCAAGTTAGAGTTGATGAGAATTGAGTAAAGAAGTGAATCAAATTTTTTTTTAAAG